TCCGACCTCCTCCACCCACTGTAAACTAATAATTGCTACCATCTGTTCTGCTGTATGTGTTATGTATGTGAAACCGGTTCCTAATATCCAAAAAGTATGATCATGACATATGGCACAACACCTTTAATTTGGTCACATAGCAGTCCATGTTTTTTACCAGGCTCTTGGTTTCATGAAAAGAACCGGAAACTTTCAACCATTTCATTCACGGTGACATGCAGTGTTCATCAAATTTCTTAATGATATCAGCAATCTTCCATGTTGCTTAAGGCTTCTCACTGATCAGTGTGTCCAGTAGCTCTCTGTGCTCTTGCCCACGAGATAGCCGAACAGCTTGACCTTGGTGGTTTCATCATCATCTCTCACCGCCAGGTCCACATAAAGTGAAAACTAATCTCTGCACACCTTCCAAGTCTTTGCAAGATTGCCTGAGTCCATGCAAAGACATTGTGATGGTTTCAACCCTTCCATTATGCTAATAATCCACCCCATGTGCTTATTAGCTGACTAGCAGGTGTATCCCCCACACCACGGCGAAACGCACAACCTAAAAACTAAACGTATAAAACTTGAACTGGTCAAAATTCATGACCGCTGCCACTATGTTATATTCTAGCTCTAGTAAACTCAAACAGACTAAAGAATGTACCTTTCTAGCCCAACGGGGCTATCGATTTATTAACATGGAACTGGAGTCACAAAGAAGAGAGTCCTCCCTGGCTTAGTCCCAGGTGTAACAATCTTCAAAACTAAGTTAGGTATGTTGCCCTACATTGTCGTCGGAACTGCGCCGCTCTGAAAACGCACCCCTCCGACTTAGGCTTTAAAAACCCTAGCTTTTCATATTAGCGTCCTATTTTGCAGTGGCTCTAGGCAAAAGTGCTCCTAGCTGAAGGCTATGTTGCGTAGCAACCAAATCCCTCCGGACAAGTCTACGCTTGCTGGACCCAATCAGACTGCCTTTTTCCTGCGATTCAGAAGGAGCTGAACCGAGTGAAGCAGCAGAGACAGAGCATAGCTAATCCAGCTCTGTTAACCGCTGAACAACGGGGGCCCCGATTGCTGTTCGCCGAAGACGCCATTAGAAGCCGCCTGACTGTGACCACATGTGGTACGGAGGTAAGGAGCACGCCGAAGAAGCAGAAGAAGTGCTGCTAGAGGATGCGGATACGTGCTAACCACCGTAGTTAAAAGGGAGACATGCTGTGCTACCATGATTTATGAAATTAACCCCATTGCAAATTGCCTCTTATTGTTGCATCGGATTGATCCAAATCTCTTTAAGTTGCTGTTGGACGAACGGACTGGACGGAAGACATGGCTGCAGAAACTATATACACTATATTGCCAAAAGTATTTGCTCACCTGCCTTGACTCACATATGAGCTTAAGTGACATCCCGTTCCTAATCCATAGGGTTCAATATGACGTCGGTCCACCCTTTGCAGCTAGAACAGCTTCAACTCTTCTGGGAAGGCTGTCCACAAGGTTTAGGAGTGTGTTTATGGGAATTTTTGACCATTCTTCCAGAAGCGCATTTGTGAGGTCGCACACTGATGTTGGACGAGAAGGCCTGGCTCTCAGTCTCCGCTCTAATTCATCCCAAAGGTGTTCTATCGGGTTGAGGTCAGGACTCTGTGCAGGCCAGTCAAGTTCATCCACACCAGACTCTGTCATCCATGTCTTTATGGACCTTGCTTTGTGCACTGGTGCACAGTCATGTTGGAAGAGGAAGGGGCCAGCTCCAAACTGTTCCCACAAAGTTGGGAGCATGGAATTGTCCAAAATGTCTTGGTATGCTGAAGCATTCAGAGTTCCTTTCACTGGAACTAAGGGGCCAAGCCCAGCTCCTGAAAAACAACCTCACACCATAATCCCCCCTCCACCAAACTTTACACTTGGCACAATGCAGTCAGACAAGTACCGTTCTCCTGGCAACCGCCAAACCCAGACCCGTCCATCAGATTGCCAGATGGAGAAGCGCGATTCGTCACTCCAGAGAACGCGTCTCCACTGCTCTAGAGTCCAGTGGCGGCGTGCTTTACACCACCGCATCCGACGCTTTGCATTGCACTTGGTGATGTATGGCTTGGATGCAGCTGCTCGACCATGGAAACCCATTCCATGAAGCTCTCTGCGCACTGTTCTTGAGCTAATCTGAAGGCCACATGAAGTTTGGAGGTCTGTAGTGATTGACTCTGCAGAAAGTTGGCGACCTCTTCGCACTATGCGCGTCAGCATCCGCTGACCCCGCTCCGTCAGTTTACGTGGCCTACCACTTCGTGGCTGAGTTGCTGTCGTTCCCAAACACTTCCATTTTCTTATAATACAGCTGACAGTTGACTGTGGAATATTTAGGAGCGAGGAAATTTCACGACTGGATTTGTTGCACAGGTGGCATCCTATCACAGTTCCACGCTGGAATTCACTGAGCTCCTGAGAGCGACCCATTCTTTCACAAATGTTTGTAAAAACAGTCTGCATGCCTAGGTGCTTGAATTTATACACCTGTGGCCATGGAAGTGATTGGAACACCTGATTCCAATAATTTGGATGGGTGAGCAAATACTTTTGGCAATATAGTGTATGTATATACACTGCCTTGCTATGGTGTCGTGTTTAAACGGCTCAACATCCTGCTGAAATCTGGCATGTGTTGGGGTATAAATAAGGTCCGGTCAGTCAATCTGGTATCAGGTGGATTTTTAGCGGAATTTTTCATACCATTACAAATTGCAAAGAGATGTCCTAGTCCACAATTACGTAGTGGGCCAACCAGGTGTCTGTGACAGGTCCCCTAAAAGGTTGGTCGGTCGGTCGGTCGGTCGGTCGGTCGGTCGGTCGGTCGGTCGGTCGGTCGGTCCGTCCGTCCGTCCGTCCGTCCGTCCGTCCGTCGGTCGGTCGGTCGGTCGGTCGGTCGGTCCGTCCGTCCGTCCGTCCGTCCGTCCGTCCGTCCGTCCGTCCGTCCGTCCATCCATCCATCCGTAGGTAGGTAGGTAAGTAGGTAGGTAGGTAGGCAGGTAGGCAGGTAGGCAGGTAGGTAGGTAGGTAGGTAGGTAGGTAGGTAGGTAGGCAGGTAGGCAGGTAGGCAGGTAGGTAGGTAGGTAGGTAGGTAGGTAGGTAGATAGATCACTGTCACTACTGTTAGCATTAGACACTACCTGGACCCTACAGAGGTTGCACAGGCAGTCCAACTCCTCCAGGATGTCACATCAATACGTGCCATTGCCAGAAGGTTTGCTGTGTCTCCCAGCACAATCTCAAGGGCATGGAGGAGATTCCAGGAGACAGGCAGTTACTCCAGGAAAGCTAGACAGGGCCGTAGAAGGTCTACAACCTATCAGCAGGACCGCTATCTGCTGGACCCCACCAACTGTTATCACAAAGTTACACCCTTGATTGTAGGACCACTATGTGGACGTGTCCTTGGCCTTGGTGACTCCGGGCAGTAAACTGAACTGGTCGTACTCCTGGATGTTCAAAAGCCCAAAGACGGGACTAACTCTGACACTCTCGCCTCCAAAGCTACAAGAATACTAAAGTTATTACACATCACTAAAGGAGCAAGCAGAGGAATAACTGAACATCTGGCACAGAAAGCAGAGGAGAGGAGAGGAAGTGTAGAGACAGTTGGAAAACAGTCAGGGAGAGACAGATACCACAGAAGTGCCAAGCCAGTGCTATCCTAGGCTAGCTACCCCTTACTACCAGAAATAAACACCGTGTGAAGGTGAGTAGTGCTTCGTCAAAATGTGCAGCAATAGGAGCTGTCTTTTAAGGTGCTGCTGGACAGTTACAGTAACTTAGATATATCACAGAAAAGATAACCTGGTAGCACAAAAGAATGAAGGTCAGCAGTCAAAACAGGAAATGAACCTGACATGTCTCAACAACACTAGCACCTGGTGGGAGCTGTTTGGTTTATTTAAATCTAATGAAGGGCAGGTGAATATTGCTGATAGAGAAAACACTTTATAATGGAACCAGATTGAAGCTGACAATTAGAGTGGAACTACAGCTGCCTACAGAGCAGCTATAGTAAATCACTAAAAAAACAATAATAACATTACCAGTAATTATGACCAGAAAGAACAAATAATACGATAGAGAATAAACAAGATTGCAACTGAATTGTTTTTTAAAGAATGCTTCTTTATTTATCCCTCAGTGGAAAGATTTATTGTCATTATTATCGTCATTATTGTCAGGCAAATGTTTGTACAGAGTGGTACATAAAACATATGCAAAATCCAAGAAGATAAAATAGCTGTAGTGCTTAATAGTACTTCCCTACATTACATAAACAATTATGCTGTTATCTGATCTTATGATTTATCAAACAGGAAAGGGATGTTTTAGGTATATCTTTCGAAAGGAGTGCTGAACACTATGGAAGACTAAAACTTCCAGAGATAAGCACCAGCCCCACAGCGACCCTGACATAATAAGCTAGAGAAGGTGGATGGAGATATATAAACTGCCCCCCAAAATAAACCAAAACAGAAAATATACCAATTGATTAAATGAGACATTACTCCATGTAACTTCCTAGCCTGACGTAGTCCGACTCAATTCTAGTCAGAATATGAGTCTGATGCTGCTCCATAGAGCTGTGATTATGGGGCGTGTTTCGAACGAACCAGGAAAAAAATGCCTCTGCACTCAATTGGATAGACCTACAACCAATAAGAGCAACGGAGTGCGTGACGTATGTTAAGCGACGCATAGTTGTTGTCCACAAAAATCAAAGCGTGCAGTTTCACACCTATAATAAGAAGATTATAGAAGAGAGACTTGATCGTGTTTCTCTGTTCCTCTTTTAAAATTAATTTGCTGTCGATATCTTCTAGAACAGACCTAATAGCAGAATCTACTCAACTCAACTCTCCAGCGGCAGCCATTGTTGTTGTCACCCAAGCGCGCTTTGGTCACGTGGTTGATTACGTTACTGTTGGTCATCTGTCAATCATCGTATAAAGCCCGCCCTGACAATTTGATTGGATCGCCTGACAGTGGGCGATAATACTCGCGCTACTATGGAGCAGAGCCAGACCGAACTTCCCCGAACTCAAACTTTGTGGGCGGGACTAAGTTTGGAATGGCACCCAGGCTAGTAACTTCCTCCCTTTGCTAAAGAAAACCAACACCCATCCCATGTGCAGCATTAGTGCACAGATTGTATTAAAGAATCAGTGATAAAATCCTGCATGATGCATTTATCATTTATTTGGACTGCATCTTGCTGAGTCCAGACACATTAATGTAGAGAAGCTCGAGCAGAGCCTCTGGAGTGATGTGTGGATTATCCCACTTTTTCTTCAGTTCATTCATATCATTGGCTGACATGATGAACTCAGCCACTAGGTGGAGCTCTCCTTCCTTCTGCAGTGGGGGTGGTGGAGACTCTGGGTGTTTGCTCTGATCAGTCCCCAGACTGTCCATCTGGAGAACATGTTAGATTTGTAAAACTATGTAAATGATGTTTAATGTGTAAAGAGATTATGAAGTCATTGAACTCACCATTCCCATAAGGCAGTTCAGTGTCTCAGGATCACTTTTAGCCAGCTGAGCAGCCAGATTGCCTGGCAAGGCTGCAAAGAAACCAAACCATCAGAGCAGAAATCAGTAAGAACTTATGATTGAACAAGAATGTTAAATAGATATTATACACGTCTACTAAATACAATTTAATTGTTCAATTGAAGACGCACATCCACATAAAACTAGACCATAGGGGACGTGCAGGTCATACCCCTTTCCTGTCAGCCTGCTGTCAGAAAAACGATTTGCTAGTGCCGTAAAAACAAAACTAGACCATAAATAACATGGACATTAATACCACAAGCCTACCAAATCCTGGTGAATTTCAGCTGTGGTGGGCGGCACAGCGGCTTTGGCAGGTTGGATTCAATTTAGTTTTTATTGTAGTTTTTTCTTTTTCTTCGTCTCAATAAGCAAATGTTAAAGTGACTCTATGACATCTCCCATGAGCAGCGCCTGTACATAGTGTTTAGTCATTGATCTTTTTGTGACAGATGTCACTTCTGTGGATGTTTAATTTGGTAGATGTGATGGAAATGTTTTCAAACATATTCAATGGACCATTCAATGGACCTAAAATAGAGCAAACAAGTAGTAAAGTTCAGTAAAAAAAAAAAAAAAAAGCACTAGCTATAGAGAAAACAAACCTTTTGCCTTTGATTTGATCCAACACTTCGGTCCTCACAGTTATAATTTAAGCAAACTGCTGTATATTTTATCCATAATTACTCAAGTGCTAGACTGTTTAAAATCTCTTTTAATTTACACAGTGAATTATCTTAGTCCAGATGAAAAAGATAAAATTAAAATGACATACCTCATAATAACTGCTAAGACATTTGGTATTTTTCAATATCACGCTCAGGACCTGAGTGTATAACCCCCCACCTTCTTCAAATCAGACAAAATTAGTGTCAAACGTTTGTGCAGCAAAAATTTTCATTTGTGCTGTTTTGGATTTGAAGATATTAATGAAAATGTAAAGGTCAAAAGGTCAACCAGCCCCCCCACCTTCTTCAAATCAGACAAAATAGGTGTCAATTAACTCAGCTCCGTTCGTGCTGGTTTGTGCAGCAAAAATTTTCCTTTGTGCTGTTTTGGATTTGAAGATTTGAAGAAAGAGGGGGGGGCTGGTTGACCTTTGATGACCTCTAGAAAAATTGCTTTATATCTTTAAAATTAAGGCGGCACAAACGAACATTTTTGCTGCACAAACGTTTGACACCAATTTTGTCTGATTTGAAGAAGGTGGGGGGGCCAACTTCACTCAGATTTGCTCAGGTCCAGCTCCGCTGCTCTCAGCACAGCGAGAGCAGCTGGTACTAAACTATGGACTGGATCTGAACCTGTCATGTCATGATGTGTTAGCGCTAAGGCTGCGTTGAAAACACACACTGGTTTTTTATCACCGTGGTAATTTTTATATATAAATAAGTGGAATGGAGTGAAGTTTTAATGTCCGTAATTTTTTAGCTGCAAAATGGGGAGTCTGGAGTGAGAGTGTGTGAAAACACTGAGGTGAGTGAGTCTCACTCCCAATGAGCGAGAGTTGACAGCCCTGAATTATTTTTGGTATTGCAAACATAAAAAAGTAAAGCTTTTCTTTTAAATCGTGGAGTAAGCACACACATATGAATGCCTTTTGCAGAATTCAAATGGGATTTTAATCTAGATAAATTCCAAGTTTACAGTGAGAAGGATCTAGATCAGCGGTCACCAACCTTTTTACAGCTGAGGGCTAATTCAGGGGCACAGGAAGGGCTACCAATACTTACCTATGAATTGCAAGGGTCAACGTTCACCTAAACTTCATACATCATAAACATATCATTATCGTTTCTTTAAATTTATAATTTTCTTTTAGACATTTTCATTTTGAAATCTCTATAAATGCTTAAATGCCATATATGATTAAATGACTCAGATTCATGGCCGTTCTTTAAAAAGGATATTGATATTCACCATTCAAAGCAGAGACCAGCAGGTGAAGGGCCTCTTTCATCTCTCTGGACATTTTGGACTTATGAAGAAGGTCCATGAATGAGGCAACGGCTTCAGACTGCGGAGGCTTATATTCATCATCAGCGCACTCATCCAGCTGAAAGGAGATGGAGGAGTTAAAAAATGTGGATTTCCAATCCATAAATTTAGGCTAAGACGTTATTTCCTACTGTGTCCTCCAGCAGAGTCAGAGCTTCCTTGTCCTCCAGAATCTCAGTGAGTGATTTCATCAGGCTCCTGCGAGTCGCCTCTTGGACATCAGCAAGAGGCTTCAGGGTTTTTTCTTTGCGTTTAATCTCTGCAGGAAAAAAACATTACCTTTATTATCAGTTAATCCAGGTGATGCAGGATTAATGATTGCTCCTAACTACAGATTCGGGGTAGCGGGGCTTATTGCTTTGAACTTCAGGCTCCTCTGGGTTAAGAATGGCAAAAATATTAGATTTTTCTGGTTTTATTTTCCATTCTCTTTTTTATTGTAGTTTTGCACAACTCAGTGTAATCTAGTTAAATGAAAGAAATGAAATTAATTATGCACCATAATCAGACCACCCTGGTACCGGGCCAAGAAAGCCCCACCCCTTTTTCCTACAATGGAAATCAGCACTTTGATTTTACCAAGTTCATAATTAAGAGATAAAAAACACTTTTGGTACACTAAATTGTGTCAAAATGACAGCTCCACCTGGCCTAATGAACTCAGGCCTAATGAGCTATAGTTATAGTAATGAGGTTGATCAATGAAATCTGATGTTTTCTGAAGGGTTTTTAGGATGTTTTTTAATGTTCGTCAAGATAAACTTTTAGGTCCAGGTAAAAAGAATCAAGGTGTTTTTTTGTTTAATCACAGATAAATCTGACATAGAAACAGTTTTGCTCAGGGATGTGCACAGATAGACACTAGGTGGAGCTAGAGCACCTACCCTATTCCCCTCTGCGTAAAAAAGTGCCCTCTTGAAATAGTTTTTTTCTTTTTTCAGTTTTTGGCCCCAAATACCATTTATGAATTTAAAAGCCAATCAAAACAAGAGTCTAGATTTTTGTCCTTTGCTCATGTAGCACCACTTCAATAAAGCCTTGCCGTGGTGAAGGGCCAGCTAACCGTCCAGGAAATCAATAAAGCGAATTTACCTCTTTCACTAATGGTTTAGTTTTTAGCATACCATCTTTAATGGTCTCTATCAGGCGCCAAGGAATGGTTTAAAATGCAATTGCATAGATGTTATTATTGATTTCCTATATTGGTCCCTTTCACGCACTCTCTAATGATATCTATTTGACTCGTGTCTTTTTATGACAACTAAATCTCACAAGTTACCTTTTGTCTGTTGAACATATGATTTAAAACCAAACACAATCCCAAATAATTACAATTCATATTACAAACTTAAATAAAGTTCTATTCCGTTAAAACATAGATGAACATTTGTTGATTCTGTGTTTGTTGACAGAGATCTTGGACTGAAAATATCTAATCTGATCAGGAAGAGTAGATAATTTATCAGTGGAATTGGATTTTTTTAACCTTAAAATAAGATTATTACATAATATGCACTTGAAGTGAGATTATAGAATTGTTCTATTTCATATTTTAAATGTAAATCTTAATTAATCCATAAATTCTCATATATATCCACTCAATTCAAGTGATTATAAACTTACCTAAATAGTTTCTGAATTCCTGGGCTTTGTGTTATTTATATATAAGTGGATTTGAAATTGTTCTTTACTTAATTGATGGCATTGGGGCAATGTGGCATTTCTACCTATGGACCGCAGAAGATCATTAAAAATCAGCCTCAGACGGTGTTTGGCTGTCGGTGGCTCAATGCGACTTATAAGGTGCCCTTTTCCAACCTGAGCATGTGCCCCAAAGACTGAATGATTTGGTTTAATTGTCTCTGTAAAGTGGCTTCAGATGATGTGTTGTCAATTGGTGCTATATAAAAAAATGAATTGTAACTTAACACAAGTAACTTACCAACAATGGGATGAGTGTAAATCACATGTACAGGTAAAGCAGGTCTGAGAGCCTCCCCAGCAATGACAACGTTCGCAGACATGAGAGCTGTCAAGGGATTAATAAATAAAGACAGATTGCATTAAAAACTGTAATTTCTACTGAAGATCAATTGAAAGTGAAATAAATAATATAAAAACTACAGATTCAATACATTGTGATGTGACTGCACTGAACAAAACAGAGCCTAAATCCCACAAACAAAAGCATTGTAACATTTATTTACTGCTGATAGAGCAGGGGTCCGTTTCAAGAAGCAGGTTTACTGAAAATTCTAAGTTTTCTGAAGTTAAACATGGAAACTATGAGTTTTCTTTTTCACAAAGATTTCATTCAACCTTGTTTCTGTTGCCATAGTAACATCCTTCCTAGAGCTAACCTGGTCAGCAGCAGGTTTTGTTGAGTGTCCTCGGTTTCCACTCTCATTACAGCCAATCAAGTTGTTTTATTTCCTGATTAAGTGAGGATATTTCTGTGTAGTTTTGTCCATAAAACAATCCTTCACTAGGTCCATTAGATACATTAGATTTTAAAAACAAACATTGAATGTTCCTTTGATGAGGACCTTATTAAACAATGGTCGGCATTAATTCACAGAGAATTAAATATTTATCGGGAGATGTCAACTCAGTTGACAAAATATGAGATTTTTTTTGTTTTGTTTAATATGAGCAACTTTTACTGTACATCGAAGAATTAGTTAAATTATTTTCAGATAAATAGATTAATGGATTCACTTGGTGATTTCAACCTACTGAGCCTACTGGCACAATCTGAAGCTATTCTATGGGACTGATAGCCTCTAATAAAAAGCATTTATTGGGATGATGACACCCAAAGCAGCTGCAAACAGCCACTTAGTATTTACTATGTAAAAGAAGACAGAATCAACATGAGGAAGAACCCATTACATGATGAACAGGTTCTATATATTAGAACATTTTTATTCTTCACCTGCTGCCAGATGATTTCACCTAAATAGATACATTGATCTACTACCTTTCAAGACATAAAGCCGTGATGTTATCGTGGACAGGCTATGGCAAGCCATTTTGATATGTATCAGTTTGACTGAATATGTATTCCTTATATCTAGAAATACATTTCAGATCTACATATTTCTATTGTTACTGGTCAGCATTTCTATTATTTTGACTATGAAGAAATGTATTTCAGATATGAATACATATTGAGTCAAGGTGATACATGTCAGAATGGCCACTTAAAATGTGTAAAAATTTTTGGGTATATAAAACTTAATTCTTACTAGTATAAGTTTTTTTTTTTTTTTTTACTTTCTGAAATAACTTTTCTGTGACAAAAAATACAACAAGATGTAGGAGTGTGATTTTGATCAGATAGATTCTTAATTTAGTGATCTACAAATGGAACAACAGAGAAGAGAGTAGTTTTAATAAAAAAACAGCCTGCCATAGGGACTTCATCTAAACTGAAATGGACTCGAGCAGCCATCGGTTTCATCGCCATCTTCCTCACCTTTGCAGCTGTAGCTGTTTCATGTCTTTTAAACTCATTCTCCATTTTCCCTTTCATTTCTTCATTAAAATCTCTTGTTCCAGTGGGGTGAAATAGGTGCTTCCTGTTGTCATGGTTACTCATCGAATTGAGGCTCCACTAATTAAACTTGTTACGTGTTAGCCTCTGAGTGAATCTACTTAGAGTTGATTGAACTAATTCATAGCAGCTAAGGAGAGATCAATTTAGAGTTGCTGATTTGAATCTAAGTTTGTTAAACCTGATTCTTGAAATGGAAACCTCATCTCTAACAATCCAGTCCTTGGACCGAAATATCAGACAAAAAGCATGATTCAAATTGAGATTGAAAAAACATTAACAATTTGAAGTATTAAATCTTAGTGAGAATATTGGAAGGATGAAAGTGCAGAGGAGAAGCAGGCAACTAGTGAACTGATGGTGCTGCAAACTGAAACCAGTTCTGGGGCTGAAGAAACACCAAAGACAAGAAGCTCACAATGATCCACCAAACCCCATCTCAGAAACCCCTGGATCAGAAGATGTAGGCAAAGAAAATAAGGTTAAAGTCAAGAAGTGATCCTCATTACAATTAGAAGGAAATAGATTCTTCTAAAATAAATCCAAATAAACAGAAGCCACCTCAAACATCTTGAATTTGACCATGACAGGCTATAAAAACAAGTAGAGGAGAAAACCAAGAAAGAAATTTAAATGGTTGTAACCTACTCTCAGACACAATCTTATACTCCGGCTCGATGTCTAAACAGAAAAAGGACAAAAACGTATGAACCAATGATGATTATGCAAGGTGATCTTTAATTAAAGATGTAATATTGGGTTCTTACTCAGGGAGCCATTATCCAGGGTTACCTCTTGAAGACCAAAGGCAAAGACTGTGTTTTCCGGCACGGTAAAGCTCACGTCACTCTGATGAGAGAAAAAGCCAAAGAAACAGTTCTACTCACATCCTTTGTTAGAGAAAACAAATGTTGATCTCTCTGTGCTTATCTGTGAGGTGTTTAGTGTTTCAGACGAGAGATGTTTTCTCAGTGTTACTCCTGTAACTCTGACATTGCATTGGAGCAGTGATCACAGCCTCTACTTGACTCTGCTCTATGCCATCAGTCAACATCAGGACTATTTTATGTAAGGGAAGCTGTTTCCCTGGCAGCTAAATGACTTGTTGGTTTCTTTTCTGACCTCAGGCTGGGTACCACAGACACAGAGGCTAGTGTTCATTTTAGCAGCCATTTTTAAATTAAGTTTCAGTTTTCGTCCAGTTTCAGCATCGCTTGTTAGTTTTTATCACATTTAGTCGACATCGTCCCATTTTTATTTAGTCTAGTTATAAGACGAGCATTTTAGTCTTTATTATAGTCCAAGAAAACATCATTTTAATCGTATAGTTTTAGTCAACAAAAACTGTCAACATTTTAGTCTAGTTTTAGTCAGGATATCATTTTAACCTTTTACTTTTTTGTCAGCAGATAATATTTAAAATTAATATCTAAAACATTTTCTCTCATCTTTTTGATAAAAAATAAACACAATTTTAAGGAACACATGCAGACACGGAAGATGTTCTGACAATATTTGCATATTTAGTTTGAACATTGTTAAGGTTCAAAGACACAAACACAAATGCTTGCATTAAAACAAATAAAATGGACCTGACAAAGGAAACAAATAAAATAAAGGGTTTGAAAGTGGGTGTGTGGCAGACGAGGAGGAGGCGGAGGAGGAGACAGGATTTGAAAAAAATTAATAAAATAATAATATGTAATTTTCGTCTCGTCTTTGTTCGTGAACTAAAATGTCCATAGATTTTAGTCCAGTCTTTATTTACTGAACTGCATTTTCGTCTCGACTTTCTTATTTCTGATTTTCTCCCAGTTATTGTTTATTAGTGGGGATTTTCGTCTCGTCTAGTTTTCGTTCGGTGAAAAATGTGTGTTGACGAAAATATTTTCGTTTAGTTTTCGTTAATGAAATGAACACTAACAGAGACGTCTCTGTCTCGTGGCACATCTTCCAGAACTAGTGAACACTACTGTTAGGTCAATAGAAGGATCAAATGGTGTATTCAGATAACAGAAAAGCTTCAATGAAATCATCTGATCTACAGAGAGAGAACTGGTGATATAAAACCTCACCTTTGAATCAAAAAATGCAAAGAACGGGTTGCTGGTGTTGCTCTTAAATTCAACACTGTTGGTGTTGTAAACTCTGTCTGTCACAAAAGCCAGCCTCTCACCCTCCTTTAGATTCAACTTCTTCTCAATACCTCCCACTAATTTCCTGCAAACAGAGAACATATGATGAGCCATAGTGAGAAACTCCAAAGTCCAGATTAAAAGGTGTTCTACAAGGCAGCAACATGATGAGATAACCTACAAGCCTTCTCCTCTAATGAGAACTGACAGGTCCTCCTGTCTGATGCTATCACTCCACAGGGTGAGAGAAGAGAGAGACTCCTCATCCGTTTGTTCGCCACCCTTTTCGGTTACTGCTACTCTGAATGTGTCAGAGTTGGTTTTTTTAAAATCTTTCACAATGAGAGATTTTTCGGATCCTGGAAGGAGATAAAAGAAGCTTTAGATGTTGCCATGGGCAGGTTTGGACTGTATAATTATAGTTTTGATGTATGTTAAAATGCCTCTGAGACTTTTATAAAGAGTTAAATGAAAATGTAGGTTTTGAAAGTTCTCAGTGGTTCTGTTAATGGCTCAAGGTGAAATGGTGTGTGTGGGAGTTACAAACCTAAGTGGATCTTTTCTTCCACAATTTCATTCAGTTTTAGAGCTAATATGGTATATTTGGGCTTCCGGTCAAAGAAATTGAAGAAATCCCAAAAACTCCTCTTTCTAATCTTGACCAGAGTCTGCATCTCCCATTTCTCATTCATAGAATTGTTACTGATGAGACTTATTTTGTCCAACTTTTGAACCACCTCCGCGGTCACAGTTGAGAATGAACCCTGTGAGCAGCAAACATAGAAACACAATCATTTCTATAGTCTTACAAGTTAACAAAACCTCTACTTTAACAACATGACAGTAACATTTTATAAGTGGTTCAAAGCAACACTGTATTATTGTAGCTACCAGGGAGCATTTGACCAGTGTTAGGATTATTTTATACATGATGTGTGAGTCTGTTATACCCTAATAATACCTGCCTGTTGCGTATAAGAACTAATGTTTTCCTAAGCAGTTTACCTAATTAGGACAGTTCCTCTGTCTGGATGTACAGTTATCATCTTTGTTGTGTATGTGGCAAAGATCTTGGAATGATATGAGAGCGGTGTCCTCGGTCTAAGAACAAAGTGTAATATTTCGATGTAACAATGAGGCCGACTGGAGTTGTATAAAATGCTTCTATGAATCGTGGCCACTTCAATGAGATGTGGACAAAGATTACAATGTCGGCCAAAAACTGTTGTCATGTCTCCTGGTTATTTGATACATATGCATTATGAGGTGATATTTAAAGAGTTTGTGCCGAGTGATATCTGCTCAAGAAAAGAACCGGAGAGAAAAAGCTTCCAGGTGTAAACACACAGTTTTCCTTTATAACTGTAATTTTTCAGGTGTAGCTCCCCCTGAAGGCCAATGAGGAGCAGGAAAAAAAAAAAATTGCTGGGCCTTTGGAAAAAAAAAAAAAAAAAGCAGTGCTCAGGTTTTTTTAGACTTTGACCTGCATTGAATCATGGGAAATGGAGTACCATGAAGGGTGACCCCGGGTTGTGCTCTAAGTCTAGTAATACATTAGTTTTTCCAAACTCCATTAAGGTGGGCTGTACCTACATGTCCTGTCGTGCAAAGGACTGTGGGATACCGTAGAGCTCCTAGTGGGGGATAAGAACCTTGTAAAGTCCCTTTGCTAATAGAACAACTGAGAGAAAATATTCTGCTTCCTTTCCCTACCTCCTTTCTTGCTTTCAACAGTATTTGGACAGTACTCATCATGGAGACCACTGATACACTTCCCCTTTTAGATTAAACCTGAGTCATAGTCTTTCATCATCAAAGTGTCAAGTGTGGTGCTATGATGATGAAAGTCTGTAACAGTGTGAACATTTTGAACCAATAGAAAAAATTCAGCTGCCACCGCTTAACTTTAAAAAGACAGCACTAAAAAGTTGATGAAAATAATATTGCAGAACTCAAAATGTCTCACATCACAATGTCAGAATTGCAGTACCATTAAAGTAGAATAGGTCCAGTTATCTTACCTTGGTCATGTTTTCTGCTGTCAAAGAAGCTACAGCTGTTGGTGCTGAAGATTGTCTGAGCTATAGATCTGCCTCTGGCGCCGTCTTATATATCCAACACGGATGTTCCAAAATTCTGAGGAATTTGAAACTTGGTGCCACAGGTTCCTGTTTGAAAATGTATTCTTCCTCTCATGAACAGTATGTTGCATAAATTATCCTTTACAACCAACAGATTGCTTGATTTAAAAAGACACCGGTTGGGTTAAAAAACAAAAACAAAAAAAAAACAAAAAACAAAGAAACATCAAAGCAAATTTACTTAAAGAATATGTTTTCATGTTCAATATTGAAATGGTTAAAACAAAACTGGTTCCATACAGATTTATACAACTACAAACTGTAGTTTTAAAGCTTCTATTTATTTATATATTCTGTAGAAAAACAATTTAATCAAATGATGTTTATAGAATTTGATTTCTAGCCTTGCCTTTGCAAATGCTTAGCCCCTTAAATGTAAGAGCAGTGATCAAGTAATCAATGCATTTATAATGAATGGATAATATGAGGGTTGTAATGAACTGAAACCCCTTTATCAATAACCACTCAAGCAATCCCATGCAGCACAACTTGGGGATAAAAATGTGTCCAAGTGGACTTGGATACTTGCTAGTTTTTTTATAAACATTCAGATAATCTGCTGCACATGATTAACAAATTATAGAGTTGGAGATGAAAAAAAATCCTCCAAATATTTTTTTCTTCGGTTTGTTTTATTTTATTTTTTCAAAAGAAAGGGGTGCGGGTTCCTTGGAACAGTTTAACCTGGAGGTCTTTAGAAATGTCTTCTTTTCTTCCACAGACACAGTTTAAAAACCAAACGGACCAGTTTTCAGCAGCTTGTCCTTTTTTTAGAGACATGCCTGAAGGGAGTGAGTACTGGGAAATAACAGCATGTTCTTTGCATTCAGCTGACAACATGTTTAGCGTATAACACAGAAAAGGCCTAGAAACTAATCTGGTTAATTCCAGAGCAGGGGAAAAGATTGATTCAAAAACTTACCTCTACTATATTATTATATTATATAATTAGTTGAAACCTATTCTTACACCCTGCATGCAGTTTTCATTTTTCTTTTATATACACACACACACACACACACACACACACACACACACACACACACACACACACACACACACACACACACACACACACACACATATATATATATATTCGTATATATTAGACCTCTTTCACAACATCCTCCTGTATTTGCAGTTTCCCATAAATTTCAAAACAAAACCGAATTTATAGTCTTTGAAAAATAAGCTGATTAGTCAGTCACTTCATTTGGATTAAACTGATTTCACATAATAAAGTGAAAAATCTTGGTGTTATTTTTGATCAGGACCTGTCATTTAAATCCCAGATCAAAGAGGTTTCTAGAATTTCCTTCTTTCATCTGAGGAATATTGCAAAAATGAGAAATCTCCTGTCCAGGGGTGATGCTGAGAAACTAGTCCATGCATTTGTTACTTCAAGGCTGGACTATTGTAATTCTTTACTATCAGGAAGTCCACAAACTGTAGTTAAAAGCCTTCAGCTGATCCAAAATGCTGCAGCCAGAGTTCTGATGAAAATGAAAAAGAGAGATCATATCTCTCCTATCCTGGCTTCTCCTCATTGGCTTCCTGTTAATCCCAGAATAGAATTTAAAATCCTCCTTCTCACATATAAAGCCTTAAATGGCCAAGCTCCATCTGATATCAGAGATCTGATTGTTCCTTATGTTCCTAACAGAGCACTTCGCTCTCAATCTGCAGGTTTACTAGTGGTTCCTAGAACTTCTAAAAGTAGAATGGGAGGCAGATCTTTTAGTTCTCAGGCTCCTCTCCTGTGGAACCAACTACCAGTTTTAGTCCGTGAGGCAGACACCCTGTCTACTTTTAAGGCTAGGCTTAAAACTTTCCTTTTTGATAAAGCTTCTAGTTAGAGTGGCTCAGGTTATCCTGATCTATCTCTATAGTTCTGCTGCTATAGGCTTAGACTGCTGGAGGACATAGGGACCCCTTTTTCATCATTCTGCTTCATTCTATCTCTATTCTCCCACTCTGCAGAATCTGTTAGTTCAATCTCTAACGTTCTGCTCTCTCTGCTTTTTCTCATAGTAGCTTCATCTGGTCTGTTCCTGTTTGGCTGTGACTCCATCCTGGAGAGAAATATCAGCTGTGCTGCTGCCATCAACACCTTTGTTTCTAGATGTTGGAGCTTGGCCTGTTTTCCAGTGTAGTCCTGTTTCTCTGACTGTGACTAACTGGATGTGCTCTCTTCATCCTCTGACATGGGAGCTGGCTCGGAGCTCGTCTGCCTGGCTGTGTGTTTCCTGGACGGGGCCGCCTGTGGAGCTGGTTGACAGTTGCCTTTTGTATCTATGCTTCTTTTTCTATGTCTGCTTCTGTCTCCTTGAACCCCAGTGGGCCTCAGCAGATGGCCGCTCACACTGAGCCTGGTTCTGCTGGAGGTTTCTTCCTGTTCAAAGGGAGTTTTTCCTCTCCACTGTCGCTACAAGCATGCTTAGTGTGAGGGATTGCTGAAGAGTCAATGAGTCGATGCAATCAGCAGGTTTTCCTTAGATAGAAAACTTTGAATCAATCTGACTGGATGATCTGGTGAACTGGAAAGTGACCTGAGATGACATGATGTGAATTGGAGCTATAGAAATACACTGAATAGAATTGAATTTCCTATGTTATTGCATTATTAAAATATGTGGTACAAAAAGAGTATATGCTGTGTATTAGGCACACAGAGGCACTACTATATCTGGAGGGTGCCAAAACAATGTATGAAAAAAAAAACAGTTTTTATTTTCGTATATAAAAGCCTTTTTGCATGTGTAAATTATAAAGATTACAGATTACCCCGCACACACAAACCCCCTCTTGCTTCCTTGGTCCCCGCCTGAGACTGCGTGACTGAACTGGAGAGTGTTTCCATGGAGGAGCAGTGGTGCTAAAATGGAGTCAAATCAAAGGAAGCTCTCAGGAGCTTAAAACAGGAAACAAAAGAGGGAGGAGAGAGATGTTGCCTCAGTGAAAGGCAACTTTTCCCAGGAGCTAAAAGATGGCGGGTAAATGAAATATAGTGGCTAGAGCCTGTGTGTGGAGCAAGGGTGTAACTTTGCGATCAAAGTATTTGGGGGCGCTCTAAGGGTGGTGGCTGATGGACCTACAGCTACTCAACCCGAACGCTTTCAATAGGGTTTATATTTTCCAAAAATGAGCTCTAAAATATATTTATTGAATGCTTTACTGTTGTTAAGAACACAAGAAAGGGGGAAAAAAAGCATAAATTATTGGTGGGGACTGTCCCCTCCAGGCCCAAAGTTGGTGGGGACATGTCCATACCAGTCCTTCAGAAAGTTATGCCAGTGGTGTGGAGGCTGTTAAATATTGAAAAACTGAATAAGTTTGGCCACTGTATTAAAAAGAAATCTAGTCTTACTCTTATTCTCCTATATCAACGAAGCTGGTGTGAGAGTTTTCTAGCGTTACTGATTGTGTTCTAATTGTCTATTCCTGACCCGTTTTGTCTTCGGACCTTTGAGCTTGCCTGTCCCCGTTCTGATGCGTTTGCCTGATCCGTCTTTGGACTCCTTTTGGATTTTTCTTGTGGACTGTATCTGGGTCTGCCTCTTTACTTTGCTCTCTGAATTATCATGCCTTCCTTCCTCTGCTTGGATCTGATCTCCTGCTTCTTTTTCACTTGTCAAGGTTTCAGCTTCTGGAACACTCTGCGGCAATCGCTATGTCTTGTCAGCTGACCAGCTGCAATCTACCACGTTCTCTGGGCTTGGACTGAACTGTTAAACCAGGTTAGGGACTCACGCGTCAACCCAGTCTCATGGGAAAATGTACCCCCACTACGTTGGTCAACACTGCAAAACGTAGTGGAGGTACATTAATGGCCATTTTTTGTGGTACTGTTACGTTTCTTCTGCCTATACGCTTTCTATTGTTTTACGTCCTAGTCACGTGACTTTCAAGATTCCAGCTGGGAGAAGAAAAAAATATATATAGATGGCCGACATTCGCTCATTTTTTTGTGGAAAGATTAATAACTTGAGTTTGTTTTTGCATTAAAATGAGTTTTGATTACATTTCTAGTGAGAAATGTATAGTTTGTTGCCAGAATATTTACTCAGGGAATGTACATATTCACTTGCTTGTTCGTTTCTTGCAAAGATTTTTCAAGATAATGTGAAACTGTAACATTTTGGTATAAACATGGCCGAGATTTCTCTAACTTTTAGTGGGAAAATCAATAATTTCAATCAGTTTCTGCATTTAAATGGATTTTGATTACATTTATAGCGAGAAGTGTAGGGTTTATTTACATAATATTTACTTAGTGAACATACATAATCACCCGCTTGCTAGTTTTTGCTACGGTTTTTTGGATCTCGTCAGGATTATGTGAAATTGTAACGTTTTGGCTGCTACCCATCGCCTAGCATTTAGCTGCCGCCCCGATTCAACATTGAATTCTTTGTGATTTAACTCCATCTGACGGATCAAACCCTCGCCACTGCGTGCGTTGCGTCTGAGGTTGATTTTCAGATCAATGCATTACGTCGTGGCATACGGGAGAAAATAATTAAACTAGCTTA